TTTTTTTTTTTTTTTTTTTTTTTTTCCCCCCCCCCCCTTCAAATAGTTCCTGCATATTCTCGCTTAGTTTGGTATCTCCTGAATGAATATCAAACTGACCTCAATCACTGGTCTCTAGGCCATCTCTTACTGCTACAAAAAAAAATCCAAAGGTATAAATAAGGAGACAACTGCTGCCTCTAACTGCCAACAGAGCAAGTAGTTGCATTCTTGTTTCTTTTGTCACTCCTACACTTTTTTTTTTTTTAGATGCAGTTACTACTGAACTGTTGTTTTTGGAACAACAGAAGGCTGTCCTCATTGGGTATAAGCATTTAGATGATCCATGGGGGGCAGGAGACCCACCCCTGTCTTGCTGCTCTGAGGGGATTCTATAGTTTTACCATGCTGACTTTGGTTTTGCAATGGTGCTAGACTTCTGCAAATTGAAGTTGCTGTCAATCTAGGCTCACCACATAATCTGCCACCTTGGTGAGTTGCTTGCTGAGATTCAAAAGGAATCTGAGCACCTACAATGCACCTGTATGTGCTCTAGGCTTGTTTTTTGTCAGAAAAATGCTATTGCTCTGCCATAGCTGCTGCACATCCGGGCCGTAACCACAACTTGGGCTGGAGGTGCTCTGTCACTTGCTACATAATCAAGCTTCTAGGTGAAGTCCAGATTTCTAAGCTTAAGGAAGAGACTGAGCAAGAAGATAGCTGTAGCTCAGTAGTAAGTGTACTTCCCTGAGGAAACCTTTTTTCTGGATTTATGGTCTCTTCTAGGCTTACACGTATAAAATAAATTCAGTATCTTTTAAGAAACCTTTTCTTACAAATTGCAACATTAAATGCTTTATTAGACCACTGGTCTTATTCTAACCTTACAAGGTTGTAGAGCATTATCTTAAAATTTTTCTGTACACTATCCAAATCAAATCCCTAGTGTTCCTTTCACTTCCTGTCCATTAAACCAGGTTTCCTAATGGCTCATTTCTAGTTGCATGGGGTTGTCTGTTTTGACTTTTATTCAATGTTTGGAGTGGGGGGGCTTTTTTTTCCCCCCCAGTGACTTCCAATATTGTGTCAGTTTATTACAAATAGTCTTCAAACTTGCTGGTAAACTCAAGGAACAATCCTATTTCTGTTTTGGTTCATTTACTTCCAGAAGTGGAAGTATAGCCCAGTGGTAAAGGTATAAGCCTAGGTCAGGTTCAGCTTACTGCCTTCCCCCTGAGTTCACGTGTGACCTTTAGCAACTTAAACCTCCCTCTGTGGGACCCACAGACAAAACATGTTTGTTGTGGATTTAACCAGATTACAAGCACTCTACAGTTTACCTAACACCATTGACACTAATGTTAGACTGGGAAAATAAGCACACAAGAAGTAAGTTCAGAATCCTTAGGCATACCAACAGTCTTGGGACTGCTGCACTGAGGGAGCTTCAAGAAAATGATCACTGACTGACAAGTCTGGTTGTGCCTTCAAGCAACAAACAAGACTTAAGTACTCCATTTTGTGGGTCTGTCAACTTTATTTGAAGAAGAAAAATTTCTATTGAACCTGGATTAATACTTCTGTCCCTTAAAAATGAGGCAAAAGAGCTACATGAGGAATGAGAGAGAGAGCTACTTTTATATGAGGCTGCTTGGAAAGTTGTTTGGCTTGGAATAATGGTTAGCCCCTGTAGATAAATGGTGTGGGGTTTGTCTGGGAGCTGGGTAAGCCTAGTGTTCCAGATCCATGGGGAAACCAGGTCCAGTGCATGTATGCTCTATGCAATGTCCAGTATACCTCCCAGAGTGGGCTGCCTTTAGCATATGCCCTAGAACAGCCACTCTGAGACCATGCCTCATGCAGTGCCCACTAGCTACTTTGGGAATGTGCTACACAGGGGCACTTTTGCCACTCCAGGGTGCATGCTGAAACGTGCCACGTGGTGCAGCCAGAATGGGTGCTGCATGTGGCTATATTGTATCTGGGGGACTCTATGTGCTGCCTTCCACTCCAGCACTGGTAGCCAAGTGGTAGGGCTCTCTCAGCTGGATCTTTGACACCCCTGGCTTAGAAAATACGGCAGTAAAAATCAGAATCAGAGAACTGAAGACCTAATATAAAACTGCCACAGATGTAAAGCAATGGAATAACCCAGATTAGATAAAATTCTTGCACAGAAGTGTGATGATACTGTATATCCCCAAACTCAGCTTTCTTACTAGGTGTTTATGATGTGCACTACATCACAATGACCCCATCCAGTAAACACCAGATAGCAACTGACTGTGCAGGTGCCAGAGGGGGAAGAGTGGTAGCTTGGGAAAGAGTTGATCAATCCCTTCCATCCTCTACCTACTACAAGGCGTTTTTCTTCTAGGCATCTTTCTACAGTGTCTCTCTCAGCCTACATGTCAGGGTTCCCACCTCAGGCCAGAGGTGGTAGCGAGACGCGGCACAGAGCAACAACTGCTCTCCTGTAGGCAGGGGAGCAACCCAGCAAAACAACCTTAGACTCCAGCTGTTCCTCCCTCAGTGGAGGAGGACATGCTAAAGGAAGATGCTAGAGAAACACTCTGCCCATGCCAGGATTCCTATAGAGAAGAAAAGTAAGAGCCTATTAGAAAAGGTACTTAACAATCTGTTTTTTTCCAAGAAGTATGACAAGGACGGGGGGAGGCTCGTGACACTTTTGGGCACTTACTGGCTTGGGGCATGGCTGGCTAAATTTGGGGCAGCTGATGAGCCGGGGAGGAAATAGGTTACTGACTGGGGTGGAGGGAGTGCTAATTAGCTAGGGGTAGGGTAGATTATACTCCATATAATTTTACTCACAGATGAGCCAGCAATTTAGTTTACACAAGGATTGGGTGGGCAGCTGAAATGCCAAGGTGAGCCCAATGGAGCAAGAAAACAGAAGAGTCATTTTCCATGCAAAGAAGTTTTGCAATCAGCAGTAATGGGACATGCCAAAAGAAATGAGAGGTTAATAATCTGGTACAATAACATATTTTAAATTGACATTAGCTGTATACAATTTTAAGAAAAAAATTTAAGTAAAGGAGCTATGCGATTCAGAGGTTTTCAAAGATGCCTAATGAAGTTAGGGACACAATTGCCATGGAAGGTCAATGAGATTTCATCAGGCTTCTTTAAAAATTCTAGCCCATTTGTGCAGATTACAATCAAAAGCATGCTAGTGAAAAACAGCATGATTTCAATAGGCTCGTAAACAGTGCTTTGGACATGGTTCCCTGAACAGTGTTGACAGGGGCCTTTTTTCATGAATACCAAACTAGCCAATCTACTGCCCTGCTAGGCATGATACAGCACTCTTTCACAACACAGTTACAGCATAGATTACAAATGATAATTCAACCCCCAGTAGACAGGGGATCATGTCTGCACCACTGTGTTAGACTACATTTTACTAACTCAATGTCAATTCCAGTCAGCTGCAGTGGTTTGGATAGGGAAGATCCTGTTCAGGCAGGGGGTTGGATTAGATGATGGCTGGAGGTCCCTCCTACCTCTGCTTCTCTATGATTCTATGGTAGACAAGAAACATTTCCTTATCCCAGATTGACTGCCATCCTAGACTGGCGCTCCTCTGCTGGGAAAGAAAAGGATGAACTTACTAAAGAGATTCTGCAAGGAATCTCATTCATGCTCCTATATGGTACATCCATTTAAAAATACTCTGCTCATCTTGAATTCTTACGCCTTAATAGACACTCAAGGACCTTTCATTCTAATTTAAGATCATATAATTGGGGAAGTCCATTTAAAGATTAAGTAATACAAACACATTCAATTAGAAGTCATATTTTGTTCAACAAAAAACTGCTCTAACAGAAATCTTTAAATGTAAACCAGCTCTACCTTAAGTGATGAAGGGAGGTATTTGGGATGACAGCTGAGACAGACGGCACACTTCAAAGAATAAATATAATTTATAAACTGTCATATTTAGCCTAACAGGACAAGGATGCTGTGTAATAGATCTTTCTTAACAGCCCTTTGATAAGGAAAAAAAAAGACCATTGCGCTTGGGAGACAGAGATACATGGTGGAGACTTTTGCTTAGGGTAGGTACTGTTTTTATCTCATTTTTTCCTCCTCTTTTTCTGTTTATTCCTAGCATTTGTCACTGCTGCAATATTGTAACTGTTACAAGAGTACCATTTTGCATCCATTGTTTTGGGTCCTGATCCTAAAGACAGTTGGGCATATTCCTTATTCTACAACAATAATCCTATCCTTACAGAAGTTTTTCGGTCCGTGTGTTTGCACTCTCAGGTTTCTAGTATTGTGCACATGGAAATCATTGGATTTTCAAGAACTTGCACTAAATAAACTTTGTTAAAAAAAAACCACACACACTTTTTTCCCAGGAGAAAATCCTATAAGCAAAAATCATTTCAAATTTCTAAGCATCCTGAAATGGAAATTTAAAGTGGAAGATATGGTCCTCACCTGGGGTAAATCAGTGTAGTGTTTTTCAGATCTAGGCCCTGCCTAAACCTCCAGGCTTGTGGACCGATCTGCACACAATCTAGGGAAGAGGGCTATGACAGGACCCCGGGGTGTCAGGGCCCTCCCAGAAATACCCCCTGGGTCCATGTAAGCTTATTGGTTACCCCCACTCTGCTGAATAGGTATGCCCAGGTTATTAATTTGCCCAGAAATCACAATTTGCCACCGGCACACCAGTCAAATAGCAGAAGGGATGAAGGGTTATTACAGAGAAAGAAAAACAAGTGATGAAATGCTTTCACAATAGATTGTGGTAAAATATGGTCAACCTCCCCTCAGCCACAGCTAGCTCCCTCCTTTGGGGATCTCCAGTGCCCCTCTGCACAGGGAGCCCTTCCCTCACTGTGACTCCTGCCAAAATATCCCCCCGGTCTGCCCTCCCCCTCCCCCGACCTTCAACAGAGCCAGAGAATCCTCCCAAGCGGCTCTGCCCTTGGCTCTGGGACAGAGGTGAGACAACTTTTCCATGCAATTGTTTTAGCATGGCTCTTTAACAGTGTCCATGTGCACCAACTGGATGGCATAAGCCAAATTTTAAAAAAGAGAAGTCAGAAGAGAGGAACACTGACAAAAAGGATGAGTTCAGGGTAGGAAAGAAGTGGGTCAGAGGAGCAGGTGGAACAGAAGCTGAGGAGAGTAACTCTGAGGGAAGGAGGTGGGGGAGGGTTGGAGCTAAACATCAGGCCGAACAGGGCAGAGACTGTCCACCAGGGACTGTCTTGGAATAAAGAAAAGTCCCCGTTTAGCAGAGGTGCTTCGGCAGCTACTCCTCAGGCTGGCTCCTCCCTACAGCTTCTGCCCAAGACCACACAGTGTGGCAAGACAACTCCTGAGGCTCAGTGTGCCCACTGTGAAGGTGGGAGTTAATCCCACACGACATTTCCATTCACTACCGCAGGCAGGACTAGGTGGGACTTCACTCTCTGGTACTTAGTTCCAAACTCCTATTTCTCCCCTACCACCTATGATGATGCAGGCATTTGAACGGAAATCACTCCAAGACTGCTATCAGTCAGAATCACTTGGAGGAGTGGATAGTCCCAGTTCCCCTTCTAGCATTGCTCTTTAAGCCACGAATTATCCCTCTTTAAGCCACAAATTAGAGCACCTTTTCCCTGTTGGGCTGATTTTTTCATGCAGTACAAACTCAGTGGTCTAGACCGGGGCAGGCACTTATTTCGGGCACAGGGCCGCTTACTGAGTTTTAGCAAGCCATCGAGGGCTGCATGACAAGCACCCGGGGCAGATCAGTATTAATTTTCTACATTTTCTAGGGGCTCCGTGGGCCTGGTAGGCTGCATCTGGCCCGCGGGCCGCATTTTGCCCACCGCTGGTCTAGACAGACAGATTGCTCCCTTTGCTTGCTCCCAAGCCCTCAGTTCATTTTCTGAGCCTGCTGTATCTTTTCAGCTGCAGCGTGTACCCAGTCCAGTAGTCCCTCTTCAAACCGCATCCCATCCATCCAGGCAGAGAAGAGCTGGCAGCAGCAAGCAAGAACAATTCCCTAACCAGCCAACCATGCTTGCCTTTTCACAGTCCTCGTCTATGGAATGGGACCTCCGCAGTATATTCACAAGCCAGCCTTTCCCCACCCAAATTTTAATGTAGCACATATAATAAACTAAGCTTAATATTAAAATATTAAACCTTCAGTTACTGTAAACATGGTCATTTTTCCTTATGAAAAGCTCTGGCATATATTTTGAGAGGTCATTGCTTGACTGACTTACTCAGGAAATTTAGAATCATGGCAATGGTATCTAAACAGCTAGAGAAATGGCAGGGTCTTGTGCTGGAAATTAATTCACAAAGAATTGGGAAATTATAATTCAGACATTCATTTAGGGCAGAACGTAAAGCCCTTTCTGGTCAATGGGAACCTTTTCCTTGGCTTCAAGGGGCTTTGAACAGACAGTGTCTAGGACTATAACAAAATAATGGATTAAAAACGTATGACTTTTCCCAAAAGAGTATTTGGACTCAGCTTACAAAGGGCAGACTACAGGGATCACTAGAGAACCCAGACCCATCTATATTGAGAGCTGGGGCCTCCACACTTGCTCTGTATCCCTATAGGAAGCACTACTCTCTGGCAGTGCCACTTTGCTGAAGCTACATTTCAGACAGCAGCTTTCTCTGAAACTTTTCAAGGGGAATCTTTATTGGGTTTGGAGGAGGTGTGCAGAAATGTAATCCATTTCTGCCATAAACTCTTTCAACATGAAACATGCTTAAAGATAGCTTTTATCAGAAATGTTCTGGTGTGCTTTATTTGGCCTGTATAAGGGTCCAAAATGACTGGGGTCACTTTTGTGTCTTTAAGGACCAATCAGCACTACAAAGCCAACAACTTTGGGAGCTGTCAGTGGGTAGGCAGTTTCACAAACACAGTGCCTTTAAAAATGCCTGTCGGAGTTGACCCTGGCCAAGGCACAAAACACTTTCCACTTCAGAAAAAAAACAGTGATTATTTTGAGGGACATGCAGATTTAGGGCAACTGTGCAAATCCCAGAACCCGCTTCTGCAGCCACATCTGAGGAAAAAGTCTGGTATGTTCTCTAGGACCAGCAGCCACGAGGGATAATTTGCAGCTGAACTGAGCCCTAAGCAAATTGGCAGTTTCCATTGAGAAGTCCATCTGACTCCATTGAATGTTATAACAGGGCTCACAGCAGTGTGCTCTGCATCTAGCATTTTTAAATTATTGTTTGTCTCCCCCCCCCCGCTTACCTTATCTAATGTAAATCAGATATTTT